TTTTATTGGAATGAATGTTAGTATATTTTATTTAGATATAATGGTATTTTTAATTTAATTTTCAATTATGAGAGACGTCTATTTACCTCTCACTATTAAGTTTATTTATTTAAATTATTTTTAGCATTAAAGGAAACATTAAAACTAACATTTCTTTAGACAGTTTGTCTTCAATACTCATCCACTTTAAGAATATTTTATATACATTAGATTTTGTTCCTTTAATAAGTATTGTATATGAATTTTTTAATATATTGTATTGCACATTAATTTTTGAATATATAATATATATAAATTGGACTTTAGTTAGGTATTTTAACTAATAGAATTACATGATAGTTATATGATAGGGTATTTCATAGTCCAAAGTGGCCATTCAGGTCCACGTGAAAAAGCCAAATTCCGCGTGTGCAGCCATTTCCGTGGCTATATCTCCGGCTGTTCCGACTTTTTGTCCTAGCTGTGCATTAAATGCCACTCAGCCAGCCGGCTTTAGTTTCACTCATTTTCCAGGTTTTGGTTATGTGACAGGAGGCGGGGAGTGGAGTGGAGAGGAGTGGAGGACTGACGGGGAAAATGGAGCTGCATACTTTTGCAGCAGTCCGCTCCACTTGGCGTGCGGCATGCCACAACGCGCTGGATCTGAATGGCAATGCAACGGAGCGGCGACGACGATGATGGCCATGATGATGATGATGATGATGACGACGATGCCACAGTGTTGCGTCATGTAAAAGATAAACAAGTCGACATTTTGACAACCTAAAAAAAAGCGCAGAAGAAAACAAAAAATCCAGTGCAGAATGAATGAAGACAGCAACAGACAAGGACGACGACGACGACAGGGGGTAAAAAACAAGATGGAACAATGGATGATGATGGCGTTGCGAGGACTCCATGAAAGTCGCCCATCAAATAATCGAAATCAACTTTCAACTTCCAACTTTGGGTCCTGCAATTTATATGCAAATTTCATTAAGGAAAATGCGGGTGTTTGGGGGTTCAAATATATCCGCTAGTGCCAAAGTCACTCCGCCGCCAGCTTGTCTTTTCTCCGCGAAAGTAATTGAAACGAGAAATATGCATTTGACCAGAACCCCTCCCATTTTTCCCCTTCCCCTCCTTTGAAAAGCGCCAACTTCTTTGGCGCGATTCAACTAATGTAATTTAAAATGGACGAGTGGCAAATTACTCGGCCATTGCGGATACTCTGCAGCCTCAATCCCCACAACCCTCAACCCACAAGATCCGTCGACAGTAAAGCCAGAGCATGAAAAAAAAAACACGCAAATTACCCCGACGCAAATCCCCTAAAAAAATTGTTCAAAATAAATTGTGTGGGCGTTGCGTAAATTTGCTTTTCTTTTTTTTTTTTTTTTTACCCCGCCAGGATTGGCTTGGATTAATTTGTAATTCAAATTTATTTCGGAATAATGGCTAATTGGAAGGTCTGCGAGGATCTGGTAAGAATAAGGATCGACTTTGATTAGTGGACAACTAAGAAGGAAGGCTAATAAATAAAAAAGTCTATGCAGTTTCACTTTATACAGAATGCTAAAACTTATATACATTCAAGAGCAAGCATTTTATAAATCTGAAAATTCAAGAGACCTCTGAATAAATTCCGGATTAAACAAGTAAAAATATTTTATGGACTTTGAAGTAGGCGTCATTAAATCAATAGAAAAATTAAGTTGGCCTGCTTTTTGTGCGATGTACTTCAACCGATAAAATAAATTCGTTGCTCCTATTCAGAGCGCTTCTGTCTTGATTTCATCCCATCCCCTTTTGGAAATTAACATTTATTTATTTCTGAAGCACGCTCAGTCGGCTCTGCAACTTTACTTGAATCACAGTTTTGTGTTTGTGCAGCAAACTTTTGCAACTTTTTCAGAAAGTGTTGCTCCTATCTGAATCTGAATGCCTCGATATAATTGCAGATTACAGCCCAGCCCGTTTCGATGGGAATCATGGCAACCTCTGTAGCATGGCAACCTCTGTAGCATGGCAACCTCTTCTTCTTCTTCTTTTACCATTTTCCGCCCGGCTTTGATGGTCTCATTTTCCAGCCGCAGCCTCTCCAAAGGTAGCAAACTTTTTGTGTGCGTTTTTCTCGTGTTTAATGTTTTATGACGTACTCGAAAAGCAAAAAAAAAAAAACAGAAAAATAGAAAAAAAGCAACGAAAAATGTGAAAAATATGTATGGTCGTGGAGAACACTTCAATTTTTGTTTAAATGCCAATAAAACTGTCATCAAAAAGTTGTTAAGTAATGAAACATTGAAAATAAATGTGTGCACCGACTGCGGGAAGTCTCTTTTTGCCCCGCACACACTTCGGTGTTCTTTTTTCTTTTTGACTTGTTTCCCCAACCATCGAAGCAAACTTTTGCCTCTGGCAATTGTTCAAGAATTAATAGCCGAACTGCAGCATTTCGTGGGCCGGGGCACTTACAATTTAAGCTGCTGCCACCCACCCACCACATTGTTGCACATTTACTTTTTGCAGCATATCAAGTTGAACGCACAAGTTTTCAATATTTTTCCCTGGCCACCCAACGGCACAGAGGAAAATAAATATATCATAAGGTTGTATTATTAAGGCTTTTTTGGTTTTTAAATACCATTAACCATCTTAATGATTTTAGATTTCAACTCAATGAAAAAGGAACTTTAAAGAACGCAAAAGATTCTTGAAAATGAATATGATAATTATATAAATTATTAAATGACAATAATTATTTTTATGTATTTACATATATAAAGAAAAGTACAACTTTATAAATATTGTCGAAGTTAAATATCAAATGCATAAAAAAGATGTCAATTTTATACCCAATTAGCATTTTTACATATTTACTTATTGTCCTCTGTGCATAATTATAAAAACATTTTCAGGCAATGTTGTTGTTCTTTCATTAAAAAGTATAAACAACAAATAGACAATAAACAAACGGCAGCTGTGAAAACATAACTTTTGCAAATGTTTTCACTCCCGATGGGGAGTGTCGCATCGATGACACTTTTTTTTCTCACTGCACCGATATTTTCATATTCTTGGTCGAGTTATTTTTTTTTTGCATTTTTTTTCGGTGGTTTGAGCGTTTTCTTTGCGTTCCATTATTGTTGTTAAAAAAGTTTTGCCCGCTCATAATTCCCGATTGGTCTTTTGTTCAATTGTAAATCTGCGGGGTGTTGGGAGTTGGTCGAAGGGGGTGGTTGGGGGTTGGGGGGTAGGTGGTTTGGGGGGTGGTTGGGTGGCAGCCAGCAGCCCGAGTCCGCAGTTGTTTTACGCAACATTTACTGTGGCATTGGAGTCATCTTCAGCGGGATGGGGTGAATGGGGGGTGGGGAACGTGTGCACCCACATCTCTGGAGCTCGGACTTGAACTCTCTCGTGTACTTTTGGACTCAAACGTCTGTTTCACGCTAATTGGAAAAGTTGCAAGTTTTTTACCCTGATGTTTTTTACTTGGCCAGCAAATGGGAGGCCCGTGCGGTGTGTGGCTTTTATTGGAGGCAAATTGCTTAGAGCGATGCTTATTAGCAGCTGACACGGTTGCCTCATCATCAAAGTTGCGGCCTAAACTGCCGCAGCAGCCAACAGCTAAAAAGTACGTATATAAAATAATCACAAGACAAACGACCTGACTTTCATACTTTTAAATTGGCCATTAGCCCGCTTTGCTGATAGGCCGCCTCCGCGAATCTCGGCTACGCCCCTCCAGATTCAGCTTAGGCTTTAGCCCCTGCATCCTGCTCTTTATTTGTAATTATAATAAACAAAAATGACTTTATATTCTGAAGGATGTTTCTGCATCCGCTGTTTGCTCTCGTCGCGCGCGCCATAATCATCAAGATGTTCGCTGCCACCGAGTTTATGCGTCCAATGAAATTGGGATTTTGAAATAGTTGGTTTTGCTTTGTTCTTTATTTGATGATGATCGATGAGATGTACCGTACTTAAATTAATATTTAATATATATTTTAATTTTTTATATATTTAGATTTTTTTAATAACAAATGATCAACTGTGATTGTTTTTTAAATGTTTCTATAAAATTAAAATTACTTTAAAAGATTTATAGAATCAAATATTTTAATTTCTTTTGTATTCTTTCCCTACAGAAACTATTTGTAAACATAATTTGTTTTGAGATAAAAATATAAAATCTGCACTTTATAAAAGCAACACAATATTTACTAATTAAACATTCAAATTAAAAATTGTGAGTTACCTAATTAGTTTTTTTTGGAGGTGTTAAAAAAATAGTAACAATTTCTGAAGATAAAAAGTGAATGCAGATCGGTAAGAACCATACTATACATATATGGCTGAAGAACCAGATTTTCGAAATGCTGACATTATAATGTAAAATAGATAGCTATGTGGAAACCTCGAACAAAAATCTTATAATGCGTTTCACTTTAAGTAATTAACTCCAACCACAAGCGCATATTAAATGTCAAATGTCTTATTAAAAAAAAGAGGGAAATTGTTCGAAAATCAAACCTACGTGTTCCCCAAATCTCCATCGGCATAAACCCGAATTTCGCAATACTACGAGAGTCCTTCGTGAGTTTTGACTGATAACTCTGCCTTCCAGGCTCAATTTCAAAGGCGCCTGCGCGGTGAGCAGAAATACAGGGAAATTTCTTGAGGGGGGACACAGAGGCAAGAACAAAAACACGAGCGTATCCCCAAATCGGAGCGATGTGTGTCCGTTGGCAAAACTGGCAAAAGGTCCGTGCAACAACGGCGGCAGCAGGTTAGTTCAGTCTCTTGCCTTAAATGGCCGCGTGCGGCAGACAAAAGCGCATGAAAAATTCATTGGAATTCGTCGGAACCGAAAGTTTAACGTCAGGACTGCGACAACAACAACAACAAAAGCAACAAAAACAAGAACAACTATAGCATATATAGTATAGCGACTCCTAGTCTTAAACGTCTATCGTTAGGTGTAACGAGGTGTGTGCCAAACTGTATGTGTGTGTGTGTGTGTTTCTCTATGTGTGTGTTTGTGTTTGAAGGCTTTGTGACTGTGTCAGTGGCGTTGTTATAAAAACACAACAAAAATTGAATGCCGAATTGAAAGTGGTTGACAGGCAACTGGAAAAACAACAGCCATGGCAATAATGTCGAGTGTCCTTTTGGCCAAGGCAAAGTGAAAGCAATACTCGCCCGAACAAATAGAGAAAAATATATACAAAATCGACAAATAAAGAAAACAACTAGCAATTGCCGAAAGTTTATTATTTTCCCATTGATTTCGATGCAAATCAACTGCGCAACAATTTCGAAAATCGTATTGAAGTAGGTTAGTACTTTTTGCGTAGAATGTGCGGTGGAGTGGGATTCGTAGGACATCAAACGTTTAAATACAAATTAGTTAGGCATGTGTTCTACCAAATTTGATTTCCCTTTATGTTTTGTCTCTTTTTTTCACATTCACCATCATTGCGTCGATTTCACAGTTGGATTTTCAACCACTTTTTGGCATGTGGCATACTTTTTGGGGATTCGTTGAAATTAATTTCCGAAGTTTTTGGCTTTTTGGTTTCGATGGTTCTTTTCCCTTTTTTTGTGGTGTATCGACAGCGAGTTCATTTTCCAGCCACTGGTTTTGGCCCTGACCACGTTTGGTTAATTAAGCTGCGAAGTCACCGAAGTGCAATTTGGAGACAGTTTTTATCAGAGGTTGATTAAAAGAAGGTGTATAACCTCACCAACTTAAATGGGAAAACTTTAATTGCTAAGAACGGTCGAGGAAACTTTTCAAGCTGCTGAGCAAATTAGCTGGGCTTGTTGTCAAAAATACCCCTTTTAACTTAGTTTGGATCTAGTTTCCCACAAGGTTTCGTTTATACACAAATTAAAACAATTATCTTGTCAAGATTAGGAACTTATTTCAAACAGTTTCTACGATGTACTCTATTATTGAAAATAATTTATATTCATAATCGAAGAATTATTATCATGTTTTTAATAAATAAGTAATATGTAGGCTAGGTTAACTAATCAATAAAAATGATTAAAATTGTTCATTTGAAGTGCCACAATCGCATTCTTATTTAAGTCCGAAATTTGTCAATTAAAAACATGAAAACAAATATAAATAGTTTTCCATGAGCTAATTTAGTCTTCTCTTACCATATAAACTACAATTAATGCATTCACATCAATGCATTAAAAATTCAAAAGGGCAATGTCCACAACCTTTTTATGTCTTTTTTGCAGTCCAAGCTTCTATTCCATTATTTATCAGTGTTTCAAATTTTCATTTTATTTGTATCATCAAATATTAAAATACGTTTTAAGGCACTTAAGTTTTTCAGACCATTTCCACACATGACAAATTAATGTCACAAAAGTTAGCAACGCAGCTGCGATTTCAAATTGCATAAATGACAGAAAATTTACATAAATACTTCACTTCATTGATATTTAATTCTGAAAATTTAAATGCAAACCTATGACAGTTCTACTACTACTTCCAAAAACACAAATATTCAATTACAACCAAAATCGATTTCTATTTTTTTGTACAAATTCAGTATAGAGGAATACAAACAAATCACAAAAGGCTGTCGAATAAAAAACCACAGCTCCTTTTTTATTCGAAAGGGAATATTACGATTTTATTTGTACATTTAAAGCTCTGTGAAATTAAACTGACAGCCATTTTCAATTAGGTTTGATGGATGTTATCGTTGTACAATATTATTTTTCATTCCTAATTCGATTGTCATGTAACCAAACTATTTGTCAACCACTCCACCGTTTTTTCTTCAAATACAAATTGAAAAATATAACTTCTCATCTATTTGCATGCTAATTATCGGAATAAAACCTGGCTCTAATTAATTAATGATTTGATTAACACATAAATGTGACCATTTGGGGAAATTTCAATTTGGCGAAGCGAATAGCGAACCAATTTACAAATTTATGACCACCGAAAAGTAGGCAACGTCGATGAAATTTTAATGAAATTAGACTGGCAACCGATTTCCGCAATTTTCAATTGTAAAAGGCCTATTCAGGAAAAGCATTCATGGCAGTGGGGGGAAAGTGCCTGCCTGGCCGCAGTTTATGGCATTTTAATCATTTAAGAACGCTCTTGCTCTTTGCAGTCAACATGCAAATTGCCTGTGCCGGACCCGGTCGCAATCGAACCCAGGACTCGAATCCATACCAGCCATCCTCGACCTCGTCCTCGTCCGCGTTCGCGTTCGCATCGTGGTCCTCTGCTAAATCCACATCCTCAACATCCTCGACATCGTCATCATCATCGAAGGCAGTGGAACGCACCGTGGTAGAGCCAACAGGGGCGCAATAAAAATTGCCTATAAATGGGCGGAAGTGCCAGAGGCGTAGGCTGCCAGGGGCAGGAGCAGCAGCAGGAGCAGGAGCAGGATGTTCTACGCACAAGGACGATGGAAGGAGGAAGCAAACGGCAGAACAACAAAGCCAAACTTCCGCATCGGATGCGACCGAACGGAAGTTATTTTGGCCGGCTGAACGTGAGCGCGGTACTCATCTACTTGTGGTGCTATCTGCTCCTGATAATGGCAGCATCTGGCGGCAGCAACAACGTGGTGAACGGCCTCAAATGCTACTGCAATCCGAAGGAGTGCGACGTCATCCGCTCGCCGGACTGCCCCGGAAAAGGACTCATGCTCTGGGATCCCTGCAAGTAAGTCGCACAGCTCCCTGCACTCCAATTAAAAAGATATTTTCTGCCCGGTTGCAAAACCGAGGGGTTGCCCTCGTGAATATATCATCGTTTTTATTGCCCAACCTAAGCGGTGAAATTGATATTAGACTTTATTTTAGAGGCTTTATTTCAATTGCTTGTCAGAGTGTTTTTAAAGTATTTATGGTTTTCAAAGGCGGCTCTTCAGCAAAAATAAAATTTGAAAAGCATTTCAGCATTTATTATTAGCAAACTGTATGGTCATAATCAAAACAATTAGAAACAGATTATTTGCTCTTAGTATACTCAGATGGTGGAAACTCCACGGAGCATAATTGCTTTTATTGCCAAAATAAACTGCAGGACTTCATTCTGCATTTAATGTGACAAACTTAAGTGGCTTTGTTTGCATAATCTGCAAACTGATAATAATTTCATGATATTAAAGTTAAATGGTTATCGAAATAATAGAAAGCAATTTAGATGCACAATATTTTGAATCTTTAATAATTGCCTACACAATGTATAAAAAATTCTAATTTAATTATATTCACAAAATATACACATGCCTGTGTAAGCCCTTTTTATGCTTCAGCAAAAAAAGTGTTTATGTTTTTGTATGCTTTTGCTAATAAAATAATTTACATGTCCATCTTGGAACTATAAAAATTGCTTTTAATTGAATAATTAATTGATTAATTAAACAACTTTAAAAAAATGTATAACAAATAAAGCTATATTTAAATCTTTAAGTTTATAAGTTGAATATACTCTACTAAATATTGCTTTAAAGATATAAACTAAATCGTTCTCTTTTCATTTTACTAAACTTTCACGTAATTCTTTTGGTGTTGACATCTGCATTTAATTTAAATAAGAACTAAATGGTCACGAATTCTTAACCCCACTATGATCTTAATAATTGGCACTGATATAATTAAGAGCGCCGTCATCCGAGTGTCTCGTACGAATTCCAATCAAATTCGAATCGTGAGTCACGTACTGCTTAGGAATTCAGATCAGGCGGCCAAAGGCGCCCACACCACAAATACAGAGTGTTAACTAATTGTTAACGCTTATCGAATCCAAGACGGAATCGAATCAATTACTACTGGGATTCATTCCATCTTCATTGCGGGGATTACTATATGCTCATACGTATACGTCATCTATTCGCAGATGCTGTCGCATATGCGCCAAAACTTTGGGCGAGTCCTGCGGCGGTCCGGGCGGATTTTCCGGTCAATGTGAGCCGCCCCTGCAGTGTGTGACCAAGCTGCCCATTAGCAGCGGACTGGGCGTGTGCATGGGTAAGTCGATAGATGTGCTCGAAAACTATATGCACTGTGGCAAAAAAGTATATTAAATGCAATAAAATCTGTTCCAGAAATGACTAAGTAATTAAGTTGGTTCCAAACGCAAAATATTTATTGATTTTAAAATGATGAAATTTTTGTTATGGAAAAGTATTATTTGTTCATAAGAAAAATATATATTTGGTCGATAGAAAAGAGCGATATATTAAATATGTATATATTTTTGGTATAAAAATTTTATTTCTTCCGTTTAGTTAGCTTTTAAAATATGGCAGGAATGATATGTTAGTTCTCTGCATTTTTTTAATAAAGCAATGAATTTAAACAAGTTAAAATTTTATTTAAAAAAAACCTAACATAAATATTGTCTAACAAAATAATTTTTGTTATAAAAATCAACTCCCCTCAAAAGACTTTAAAAGAAGAACAGATTTATTTGGCACTCTTACATTCCATTCCAGTTTATACATTTCTTGTGCTTATCCAATTTTTCTGCCAGTGTATGTACATATAAAAAAAGGGGGTGGGGGAGGTAGCGCCACCAGCGAGCGGGTTATGGTTATGGAGCACTCGTATTTAGTCGCATCCATTATGCATTAACATCACGTATTATAGACCACAGAGCCCTCAAACAAAATGTTTGCCACCAGTTCGGAGCGCTTCAGAAAATCGAGTCGCACTTGCCATTTGGATTGCGGGGCTCCTGGCGGGAATTCGTCCGAAATGAATGTATAGTTGCGGATCTCGTACAGTTTTCCCTGCATAATTTGATGGCATCAATTCGGTTTTTGCGTGTAATCGTGTTTGGGGAATTAATTCGCCCCGGCCGTGCGGCAATTTGCGTTCGTAATGCGAAATGGAAAATGAAAATGAAAATGAAATAACTGCAGAATGTTGTTCAAATTTAACTAGTTTGGCTCGCGTCGAGAGTGCCACAACACGAAAATGTTGACAAATATTTGCTTTTATTTATTGAAAGTTGTTTCCCAAAGGAAAATATTTGTCTTTATCATGTTGGGCAGGGGCAAAGTTTTTGGCATCGTTCTACTAGCCAAAAAAGCAAACGGAAGTTATATTTCATTAAATTGCTTTATCCGTTTGTTGTCATTGAAACATGTTTATTCTCTCTCAATTTCGATTAAGTTGCTACACTCAGATCAAGTTTGTCTTGGATATAGACGTTTTATAGAAAAGTCAAATTTTGTTTGCTAGTAACTCAAGACATCTGCCGAGATTTTACTCACCTTCATCACAGGACAATTAGCCGGCAAACTGCTGCAACTTTTGAGGCGTTTGTACAGTTTTCCAATAATGTTGTTCTGGTACATCGAACCCAAGTATTTGCAGCCATCCAACTTCAGGTCGGCTATGTTCATCCGGGTTTTATCCTTTTTCAACATATTTAAAGTAAGAAACATGTCGAATTTGTCGATTGTTTGATTTAAAATAAATCTGGCCGAAACTACGGGAATCCGCTGTCGCAAAAGTTTGCAGCTTAGTTCATTAACGTAATTTTTATCCAAAACTTGGCACTCCAATTTTTTCATGAGTATATCATAGTTGGGCTAGAGGGGAAAATCTGTTAAAATTATTAAATGAAGTGAGAGCAACCAACCTTTGCCAATCCAATTTGCAGCGGAAGTATAATGACCAGAAATGAAAAGCGGGCAATCATTATGGCAAACTAAACACGAAAATGCAAATGGGGTCGGCTTATATAGGCATCGGCCAATAAAAATAAACGTCACCGTAATCTCTTTAAATGCGCCGAGAATCAAAGTTCATTTGCGGGGCTTAATGAACATTTAATATGTGGATTAATGCGCACCAACAGTTTTGCCCGCTTTCATCGATTTGGTGTTAATAACATTATTTGTTTTGTTTGTATTTTAAATAGATTTGCAGCACCTGACTGCCCTGACCTACAGTCAGCACGATAATTGTTCCGACAGCAATTCGATTGTCTTGCAGCCGGGCTGCGAAATCACAAACAAACGCTGCCAATGCTGGCCAACAATGCGCACCTGTCTGAGTGAACTTTCCAGCGATGGGGGATCCCCAGGCGACTCCAGTTGGCACTTCAAAAACCTTGAGGTAGGTAAATATATAACCCCTTTCTCCAGTTAGTAATTGCGCCTGATTCCCCTGCAGGACTGCCAGTTGAACTTGCAGAATCTAATTAAACTCGAACAGGAATTCGATGAAGACTACAAAATCTCACCGAGTAAATTTACATACAAGAAGCTGCGCAGAAAGCGAAAATCGTTGAGAAAACGCATGTGAGTACTAAACTAAGATATTTCAAAATCAAATAATTATATATAATAAATTAATTAATTAACTTTACTTTGTTTTTAGCATCATCTTGAAGGATTGAGGCTTTAGTATGCCCACGGAAACATCCTTTTTCTCAGCTCTTAATGCAATAAAACCAAATGGAAAATCTTGTACAGATAGTATGCTTACTTCTAACTAATAATATGGCTATTATAAATAACATATATATATTTAAAAAAAACATATACATATACAAGAGGAAAAATACATATGAGAAATAGACAAATTGTATGTATCCTAAGACATTTGTTACTTTATTGTTTTTAGAGTGCGCGTACGTATGTATAAATTCGCAATTTTTATTCCTACTGCCCCGAAAACAAAATATACAAAACAATAAATTGAAAAAAAGTATTCAAGGATGTTGTTGCTTTTGAAAATAACAAACACTAAATGTGCAAAACGTTGGAGTTTTCCATAAGCATAAGTCAAGCCATTCAATTAACAATAAACCAGAATGACAAATTTTGCTAACATGAAACAGCATTGAAAATATATAAGTGGCCAGAAAATAACGCGGATGTTGTGTTTTTTTTATGGGATCTGAAAAACGTATTTATTTGGATTTTATTTTTGCAATGAAATTTTCATTTATGCGTTAACAGCTAAGCCACAAAAATATTGTAGCATACTTTTTTGGCTACTTAACAGAGGTAACATTTAACATAACAGAAATAAGTATGCGTCGTGTGGGACTCATGTAAAAACTGTGGTAAATGGCATGTAGAATTCTGTAGTGTAAAAAACAAGCGATAGGTGTCGCATGAGATAATATTAAGTAGCATTTGAATTGCTTACTTGTTTTTATCCCATGATCTGCAAGATGAAGGAATCATTGTCTGGATTTATCTTAAAACCGAATTATAAAAACTTATTAAATTATTAAGAAATATTTAAAGAATCAGAACCCATGAAAAAACACATTTTAAAGCATTGCAAGTTCGTTTTGATTTTTTTTTTTAATAATGTCACATGATAAAACATTCATTTTTGTTGTTAATATAGGAAATGATGTTCTTTTCTATAGAAACAATGGCAAAAAAACCATTTAGAAGCGACCAATTTAGTTTTTGGAAAATATCATTTTATAAAACTAAATTAAATAATCTTAACATTCATGTCTGAAATACACACGGAAACCACTGACTCACCTGCCCTGTTTTGATGCCCTCAGAACAACCAGGCAAATGAAACAACACTACAAAAGCGAATCAAAACCCTTCGGTCCAAAAATCGACCATCAACGGCAGTCGAGTGGGGTCAGTTCTTCATCTCGAAAAGATCAAAGATACACTTTGGCGCTTAAGTGTTTTCCCGCCGCTCTCCATCCTCATCGCCAGCCATCAGCTGAAGGAGTTCGAGATATTTGTTTCGCTTTTCGAATTGAGTTGTTATATTTCTGTGGCTCCGTGCACTCGAACTCGAGTTCGTTAGGCACCTTAGTGGAGCAAACAAAAGCCATTAGACGGCGTCATCTGACAGCCTCAATGGAATAGTTTTCGGGGCGAATGCCAGCGGAATGCCGGAGCGTTTATCGATCGCCTCTGATGGGATGTCCAACTGCCAATGAGGCCGGGCTGAATTAAAATCAGTGAAACGAATGTGCGGCGAGGGGGGGCCACTGTGTCCAGGGCACAGAACAAAAGACCTCAAGTGCGGAGGAGTGAGGTGTTAAAAATTCTACTCTTTATGCTCTATTATGATTTGACTCGCTGCTTGTGGACTTTGATGGACATTTACGATATGAAAAAACTTCATGTGTGCACTTCAAAAAATTAATTAATTTTATTTATGATAATTAAAAAGTTACTAAATGCTCTAAAAAATTAATAATTAAATATCGATGGTGTCTTTAAAATTATGAGATAATTCTTAAAGCAGAGGTTTAATCTAATATATACATATTTTACACACTCCATTAATTTTTCCAAACACAGTTCCCGATATTTCTTTCAGTATAAATGTGCGAGTGGAGTTTTATATATCTTTTCAGCTTTTGTCTCACTTGTTTGACAACCGATGCGTACAAATCAAAGCAGGAATCTAGAGTCATGGGCCCCGAGCCCCGACTCGTCTGTTGTTTGATTAATAGCCGCACAATTGATATGTTAAGTGGTAAATTACGCCATTGGCACGCAAATGTATCTTCAAGATACATGCGTTTGTGTGTAGACAAAAAAACGGGCAAATTGTTGTTTGTTTAAGGCGCCGCTTTGGATGCAGATAAAAATCTTGGAGCTGGAAAGGCGGAGCCTAAAGTGCGTAAAGTGATTTAATTTTGAATGGCTGTCGGAGAAAGTTCATCAAACACACTCACTCACTGGCCGGCATACAATTATTCAATTATTTGGTTGACTTTTTATTCCCCCACGTTTTTTTTTTTGGGAAGAAAAGCTTGGCATTTCACAAGGTTCGTTGGCTTAAATTAAAACCCATTAGTCTAGTTTTAACACGCTTTCGGGGAGTCTCCGTTTGTTGTTTTTACGGTCCCGTTTATATGTTTAAATAAAGCGAAAAACAAAACCGAATCGAACCGAAGCGAACAAAAAAATCCATTAAAGCCTTTTCGTATATTAGAAAAGCGAAACAATGGGGAGGGAGTTCGATTGATGTCATTAAATTTTTGCCACGCCATAAAATTCATCGAGTTTTTGTTGTTTGTGTTGAAAAACCGCCGTAGAAGTGTTATAAAAATCATTTAAAAGCCGAGATTTCCGTAGGTTTGATGATTTTTTTGTGGTCCCTGCTTTGTTTTTACTGCACGAACCCGAAGCCTTCGCTCATGCTCAACTAAAATGATTTAATTTCGAAACGTGCCTTGCAAATTTTATGATCAATTTTCGCTTTAAATATAGATTGAATGCCTCTTCGAATTATTTAAATGTGGCTTCAGCTTATTTATTTATTCTGCTCCTTTGTTTTTGCTTTGCTTCGGATATCATGTGACGAAGGTGCTTTATTGGAATGCAAAAAAAGTTAAAAAGGGAGCAGTTTTTTGATGATCAGCAGCGAAATGAAATATTGTAAATTTTATGGTTTTGATTTACGATATTTTAATAGAACAGTGATTTATGGAGTTTAAATAAAAGGATTGGTTCTTGAGAAAAGATATCTGTTGAATACTGTATTTTATGTATGAAGATTTTCTCAATATATAGTTTACACTAGTAATATCTTTCTATAGTAAAATTATTAGGATATTGTTTCGTATTACTAAGTATAAGTCGTGAATTGTTTACCACCTTTAATAATTTTTTGCAATGTTATGGTAATTAGATTATCTTTATTTTTCCTTTAATATTAATAAATTAAACGATCGATATTATTGGCCATTAAAAGTCCATCCACTGCTCCTGTGAATATCAATCTTCTTTTACTAATTTGGTTTCGATTCTTTTGATTCTTTTTTGCAGATCGAAGCTGATGGAGTTGCTTCATTTCCATTTCTATTCAGGCATTGATCTCTGGTCGGTCTGTCTGTCTGCATCATAAATAAACTGTGGCAAATTCTCTAAGCCAACCCGCTGAAGGCCCATAAATTAAATGGCGAAAACCAACAACGAAGGAGGCCAGTGTGGTTGTTGTGTCATTTTCTTGGCGCGCTTAATAAACTACACACACTTTATGCGATCTGTGGTTCCTGTTGTTGCGGCCTGCCGATTGCTGTTATATGATTTCATATATCATCGCAGCCAAGGAGGACCCTCCTCTCAATTTTTTCCTCTTTTTTTCTTCTTATTTTGCAGAGTTTTGTGTGTTCAGAATGCGCAGGCGTGCGGCATTTAGTTCAGCCTGTCGACTCTCGATTGTCCCTCCATTTTTCCCCCCCATTTCCCCGGATTCTTCGTCAGCCTGTTTTGTGTATACTTTTTTGTTTGATAACATTTTATTGTCCGCTTTATAAATTATTGGCGTTTGCCGGGACTCTCGGGTTGGGATCAGAATCGGGTTCGGAATCAGAATCGGGGCAAAAAGTATCCTTTTACGTTGCGCGTTTTTGGTATGCAACATGTGTCCAAATTTGTGCAGCATACAAATAAATACAATGGTAAAACACTAGCGATTGGTTTTTGATACGACTTATAAAATGGAAAATATGTCCTTGAAAATATAATACAATAAAAAACAACATTCATTAAATTTTTACATTATTATAAAGTGAAACTTCTACATTAAAAATTTAATTTAAAACAGAGCGAATCCAAATCCATTTATGATACTTGCATAAATAATATTCTCCATGTTCTAGTTTTCCGATTTTTAAAATAAACTTGTACAGGGTATATAAATACTCTATCAACAGCTCCAGCAAACTCCAGCAGCCGACTTGATTTTATAATTTTTCTTAGTTTTTTGCACCGATCGCCTGTTGAGTCTGCGCGTGTTTTGGCCATTTAGGGCGTCTTGGCCCTAAAACAGACAATTGAGTGTAGTGTGAAAGTTGCTTTAAATACTCTCGGTATCGGTATCGGAATCGAGGCGTTCCGATGCCCCGAAGGCGCTGATGCTGACGACTTCTGATGGAATGGGATTGGGAACGGGAATGGGAGGGACGAGTCGAGGCTGCCACCAAATCAAACCATTTATGTCTGGCTCATGCGACACATTTATCATCGTCAAGTAACAAAACTCACCTGCACCTGTCTGCTGCCCTGAGAATGGGCTGCATTCAAAAAGGGGGAAATCTGAGAAGAGCTATTTAATTATACAATATATACAAGGCACACCCGCTGGGCCGAATGGGGTTCCACTTCCCAAAGTCTTCTAACTGGAGCCCAGTAATGAGCTGCGGCCTTACACTGCCACTGCCAACCAACTAAATAACTCATATATTGGGAACAATGAAAAATCTGTCCGGTATCCATGGCATCCCATTATAGCCCTCTTTATATATATGTGGGTATGAAAGAGGAGCGCGGCGCATCGATCAATCGAAATGATATAATTATGGACAAGACTAAAGGGCGGCTCTGTGTAAATTGATATCAACAAATTACGCGAAAATATTTCAAAAATATTAACGAATGTGAATGATATAATGATGAGATGATGGATGTTGGAGGCACTGAAAAAAACTAGTTTAAATTAAAATTAAACATATTTTAACTATATTAAAAAACAACCTTTTTAAAATTGACATTCTCGGAGGCAAATAAATTTATTTTGAATTTGAATTTTTTTAATATTTTGGTAAATATTGCTTAATTTAATTTTACATATTTGGAAACACTTTCTTTAGAAAAATTAAAAGGATAATATAGTTATAATTTTTTGGCACAATAAATATGAACTTAAAATAAGCTACCTATTTTTCTCAGTGACTTTGCTCCACCCTAATTATGCCCAATTTAAAAAGGGTTAATTAAGGCACAAAACGCATTTCGAGTCCTGTGTGTCTGCCAATGGAGAGCGTTATTAATATGCGACATTTTTGATATCTTTTTGCGGCTGCCCGGGCAGAGGAACCCCGATGCTATAGAATACACACTGCACACTGCCCGATCAGACCGAACCA